CCTATTCTTGATTCAGGCTCTGATGGAATAGACTTGTTTTTGGTTTCCTTTGTTCCCAGCTCAATAAATATTTGTTCATTAATAATCAAAAGATGGCATTTCATATATAAAGTACCTGAAAAAATTCTGAAGTAAAAGGACAAAATAATTGTTTTCCCATAGGGAAAAGAAAAGATGTGCTTTTAGACCAGCCCTCCTGGTACTGCATAAGCATACATTGACTTTCTACGTGGCAGGTGCTTGAAGAAAATTGTTGGCTGTCAGTTAGACTCCACAGAGCATAATTATGAAACTGTTCTCACCCTGTACGATGAACCAGTCAGTCATGTCTTAGTATTTTCTCATCATGCTATTGGTTGACATATCACTTTAAAGAGAGGAGAAATATCATTACATGTTTCTCAAAAGTTATGTGTTATTTTCTTTTTGGCAGTTGCTGATTTGTGTCTCATGTGTTAAGAGCAAACTCTGCATTTTGTGAGATTTCTTACTATGAGTCTGTACTGTTACCCACTTCCCCCCGCCCCCCCCCCCCAGTACAGGCTTGTCATTTTTGACTGAGAGTTAAGCCACAGGAGTGAGATCAATTCCAGGCCTGAAAAGTGACCTAGGGACATAGTCTTGGGGGTTAACCATCTCTGTGAGACCAGTAAGCCTGGTCTTTTTTATGATTTTCAGTTTTGTTCCACATTCTCCTCCACTCTATACAGGATCTCCAATACCTTTCAAAGTGGTTGGCATTGGCCATCAAGTTCTTCTGCTCTCTGGGTCATATAAGTTGAAATTGTCATGGTCCATTAGTCCTTTGGACTATTTCCACATATCTCAATTCTGTTCTCTCTTCTCTGCTCCAGATGAGGAGAGACCAATAATTGCCGCTTAGATGGCTGCTCACAAGATTTTAAGACCCCTGTCACTACTTACCAAAGTAAGACATAGAACAATATTTTTGTATACCATGTTGTGCCAATTGAGCTTGATGTCCCCTGTGATCATAGTCCTCAGCCCACAGGCTCAGAGACCTACTGCTGCAAGGTGCCTATTTGTAGCTACCATTACCCGTTTTTATGTTTGAGAGCAATAGTGTGAGGAAGCAAGTAAAGTAACTGATACTAGATGAATCCAAATGCAAAAGGCATTGTTTTATGGACTGGTACAATTACTTACAAAACCATAAAGCTTCTCAGTATAGGAGATCAAGACAATGATAACACTGTAGTCAAAATGTGTGCGTTTAAGAAAACTTTGTATACTTGAAAATGTTCAATAAATTTAGAAAATATTATTGAATGATTAATTTCCCACTAAATAGAATTTCAAAACTGTATCTTTATACTCTCCTTGGAGAGAACAATCATGGGAGAAAGAAGGGCTGCTTATGCACAGGGAGACAGCTCAGGGGGCTGGAGTCCATGGAGGGATGGACAC